ACATAGTTGCAAGTTGTCTTCATCCCAGCGCACCCTGCACACTTTAGTCACACCAATTCTTTTAACCTGTCTCTCTTACTCAAGAACCTACCCTGGCTCTCTGTGAACTGCTCTGAAGCAGAGTGAGCTTGGGTTTACAGTTAGAGAACATGAGTTCAAATGCCACCTTGGTCACTATGGCTGGGTAAGTTTTATCATATTGATGTAAGGCAGGACAGACCCAAAACTGGGGCTTGGCCTGGGAGGGTTTGTGGCTTCACCTAGGAAAGAATTCAAGGGTGAGTCAGTGGTGTTAGACAGCAACTTTCCCTGAAGTGGCAGCATACAGCAGCAGCAGAGGTATGCTCCTTGCAGAGCAGGGCTAACCCTAGGTAGTGTGCCCAGGGTAGCAGCTTGGGGGCATTTCTGCCATCATATTTATGTCCACTTTTAACTACATGCAATAAGGGGCGGGTTATTCAGAAATTTCTAGAAAAAGGGATGGTAGCTTTGGGTCACTGCCATGGAAAGGGGCAGTAACTTCCAGGCATTGCCATGGCAGTGGTAAACTGTCATGGCACTGGTGGGCATGTCTTATGGAGAGGTGCTTTTGGTGCCTCTTCCCTGTTTCAGCCAGTTTTCCATCTGGCCTGGAATCAATTTCCTCCTCCTGCCTCAATATTGCTTAATGTACCTCAGTTTCCTCATCTGTCCAAATATCTACCTTGATCTACAAATGCTGATACAAAAAAATCTATAAGTGGAAAAAGCAAGTCACAGAGAGATAAAATATTCTGAGCTCATTAATGTGAAAAACAAAACTGCATATAAATATGTATTTATGGGTTATATATGTAAATGTAAAGGTATAGAGAAAGGTCTGGAGCAGTGGTGTACAATAAAAATATAATGTGAACTACACATGTAATTTTAAATTTCCTGATGGCCACATTAAAAAGAAGAAACAGGAGAAATTAATACATTTTATTTAACCCAATATATTCAAAATGTTATTTCAACACGCAATCAATATAAAATTATGAGATATTTTTACTTTCTTCTTTCATACCCAGTCTTTGAAATTCATGTGTAACTTATATGAATAGAACAGCTGACTTGGGACTGGCTGTATTTCAAGTGCCCAGTAGCCACGTGTACTAATGAGTCTGGTCTTAGACTGTGCAGGTCTGGAAGGACACACCCCCAAACTATTCCCATGAGTCATGACAAATTGAGAAGGTGAAAGGTGTGAACAAAAACTTTGTATTTTTAAAAATCCTTTTCTCTGTACTTTGAATTTTTCACATCAAGCATGTAGTTTGTATTACCTTTGTAATTCTTTTCTGAAGCTATTAAAAGTGGGGAAAAAGTGCCTCTTTGGGTAATGGTGAGGATGGCATAAGGTCATGTGAAAAGTATTTGTAGATGAGAAAGCACTGTCCAAATGTATGTGTTTCTTTATGCCCCTCCTTCCGCCAGAAAGGCCTGAAGGTAGCTCACAGGGACAGGTGACATAGAGGAGTAACAAAAGCTAAAACTGGAAGCAAAAAAAAAAAAGAAGAAGAAGAAGATGAAAAACAAAGATGCGAGCCTACAGTGAAGCTGGAATGAGGCAGGGCAAAAGCAAACACTCACCTCCTGCTCACCTGGCTACCCAGCCAGGCCACAGGCTGAGACTTCCCAGAAGCTCTTCCTGAGGCCCTCCAGAACCCACCTCCGCCTCCTCCTACTTCCCCTCTTCCAGCCCCTACAATTTCCAACACCCCTGCCCTGCAGCCTGCCCAGGCTTCCCACACCTGCTTAATTCTAGCTTCTGGCTTTTGCTCATGCTGTTTTCTGTTTCTCCACTCACTTGCTCTCCCCACTTGTTTCTTCTCCCTATGTGGACCCTCCCATTCAATAGCGCCTCCCGCTGGCACACCAGCCTTTGACAGCCTCCAGCTCACAAAATCTCTCTCCACAGCCATTCCACCATGCTGAGTCATTCTTGATTATGTGCTGTCATGTGTGATTTTCCCACTCAAATGAACATTTTCTAAGCACTGGCTGTGTATCGGACACTGTGGGAACTTCAATCCTGCCAAAGATGACGTCTTACTCCACTCTCGAGAAGCTTCTGCAGAAATGGAATTCATTGGCTTGGTAGCTGAGTTCTGTGAGGCACAACGTCCTCCTTCAGAGCCCTGGGAGGCCCCTCTGGATAACTCACTAGAGACTGCAATGGAAGAGCTTCCAGTGTCCAGTCCTCCCTATGCCCTTCACTCACACTACCCACCTGGAACTGAGGCTTGGCCCACCTTCTTCCTTCCATCCCCAGGACCATGAAAACTAAAGCCCCTTCCTAGTGCCTCTTAGACTGGGGCAGAACCTCCACCGTATCCTCAGGATTGAAGACTGGGGCAGTACCTGTTTCCTCCATGTCCTCACTGAAAGCATGAATAAGAAGCGGGGGATTGGCATTGTTCTCTTTGCCTAAAGAGCCAACCCGACAGACAACGCACTAGCCTTTTTCAACCAGGCCTCTTAGAGGGCACACAGGTGAACCAGGTAAATTGGCAGTGCCCCAAAGCTGATGAGAAGGGGGTTGGAGCAGCAAGCTACCCTTGATGTCCCATCATTCCTTTTGGTTCTTTCACATTAGTAATAATTATAACTCCAACTGTAATAACAATAGCTAACATTGGCAGAGCTTTACTCAATGCCACTGTGTTAAAGCTCTCTCCACGGCTTGTCTCATCTCATCCTCACAGGAGCCTTAGGAGCGAGGTGTTATTTTTATCCCCATTTCATAGATAAGGAATCCGAGCTTTCTCCCCACAGTGAGGATGGATAGGGAATTACTAAACAACTGAAGACAGGCAGGAAAGAGGAGCGAAGATGAACACCCTTCCAGAGACACCCCCTTTCTCTCTGCACCCCTTCTTTTTCCCCAAGTATCTTCCTTTCCTTCTCTAGAATAAATAAAGTTGGAAGAGAAAGAAGCAAAAGTGAAGTAAAAACAAATAGAAGGACCTAAAGGTACATCCTCAGTTCTGTGGTAATACCTACCCCATCATCCACATCCCTACTCACCAAGGCACCAGTGGCAGGGGATGGAATAGCTAAAGGAATGAAAGGAGGGGCCCCACCTTGGTTACACAGCAGTAACCTGCCTGGGGCCACCAAAGACCAGAGTCCAGATCCCCAGTGAGGTGCATCTCACTGTGTGGTGCAGCAGAGTCCCCTGGCTCAACCTCTGACCCTGGAGAAGTTGGCACGCACCACTCCCAAAGCCCCACTGGGCCTCTCATGGGAGCTCCCTCCTTTACCTGGCCTGAAGCAGGATAACTCCTCCTGGGCCAGCCCCAGGTCTCCCAGGCTGACAGCTCTTCCAGGCTGCCCTGGCCCTCACTCCATCCTCCCTGTGGCCCCAGAATGGGGAAAGGTCCCGAGTCTGGTTGAATGGCATCTATAGCACTGCAGCCATTCAAGTGTGACTTGGAGCTTCCCAACCCCATGCTGGACTCCTCATTACCCACTCCTCCAGTTTGTCTTGCCCCAGACCCCAGATCACCCTGGATAGCGGGTCCCCGAAACAAGAGTTCTTTAGAATGCTGCCATCACCTGTCCCTAGGCAGTTGCATCCTCCAGCACAAAGATCCAAACTCCTGCTGCAAAGTTCTGCTCATACCCTTTAAGAAAACTCTCAACCCTTCCTTCACTTCACTGGTTCTCTCTGTGCCTCCCCAATGCCTGATAGATGTCCAGTTACTGCAGAACATAACAAGTACTGGGATAGATGGTCCAAACACAAGTCATGAACAGCATTTGTTAGTATAGTAGACATTTCCGTAGGACACAGATCATCCCAGTGGTCCTCATACCCATTGGCCAAGTCCCATTTTCCTCCCCTCCTCCAGCAGAGGGTCCCTACACTCCAGCAGGCAGGCTGAGCTGGCCTGGCTCCTCCCTGGAGCTCCAGGTAACCCCATCGCAATGCCCATCCCCTCTCCAGCTGCCCCAAGGGGGTGCTCACCTTACCGTCTAGGTGCTCTTAGAGGCTGCTGGCTGGTCCAATTCCTTCTCTGAGAAACGGATCAGCCAGACCCAGTCGACAGGCCAGCAGACAAGTGGAGGTGGGCGGGGAATCCAGGCAGGAGTGGCCTGGCATTTCCTGGCAGAGTCCTGCCTCCCAGCTGCCCTAAAGAGGGGTGAAGGAGAATGTCCCTCTCTATTGGCAAAGTCCAGCCCAGGTAAGGGAGTAGCTGAGGATCCCAGAAGTCAGTGACCTTGCCAGTCTAGGTCTGCAAGGAAGGAGGGAGGGAGGGAGACAACCTGGGTGTAGGTGCTGCACCTTGAAACCCCTCCCTACAGTGCCCTCTGCTGGTGAGTGGCTGCCCCCAGCCAGAGGCTATTACTAAATTAAAATGGCAGATAGGAGGAGGAGGGAACTTTCATCTGAGTTTCTGAAACTATAATGTGCCCCGCAGTCACCTGGGAGATCTTGTTAAAATGAAGGCTCTGAATCTGTCGGTCTAGTGTGGGGCCTGAGATTCTGCAGCTCAAAGAAGCTCCCAGCTGATGCCAATGCAACCGGTCCAGGGAGCTTAGAGAGCATCTAGTTCCACTCGCTCCCTGCACAGAGAAGACAGTGGAGGCACTGAGAGGGTAAATGACTCACCAGTTGCTGGTGTACCTGAGATGTACCCATATCTGTTCCTTACACCAGGTGCTTTCTACTTCCCCCACCCAAAGTTGGCAGAAACACTACCGCTTGGCAGACGGCTGAACTTTGGGGCCATTTGCCATTCTGAGTTCTGAGAAACTCTGACTAGGAGCGATGGCACCACAGAATGAAAACTCCTTGTGGAGAGGAACTTTTCCCATGTTTTCTGCTGTCTCCTCAGCTCCTGGTACAGCCTGATAGATAGAAGGTGTTCAATAAAGATGTCTTGAATGAATGAGTGAAGATGTTGAGAGGGAAGAGGATGCATTTTGGATCCAAGTGACCGACACTGAGCCCAGGTGAGTGACAGGTTGGCTATGTAATATTGGGCAAGCTACTTAATTTCTCTGAGCCTCAATTCCCTTGTCTGTCAAATGCAGATAAGAATATCTACCTCGTGTGAGATAATAATTGTCATTATTGAGCTAATAAATGTAAAATGCCCACCACTGAATGGGTGGTCAATAGATGGTAACTGTTATCACCAGGGTCTGGCCTCCTGCAGTTGAGGAGGCGTGGTGAACGCCCCTAGGCCACTAGTTATCATCTCCCGTAGAAAATAAGTAACTTCCTCTGCTTTTGTCTCAGTTAATAATTCTCTAGCCTCTTGTCTCTGACTGCAATCCCCTCCCCTCTGCTTCCTTCCCTGGTGGAGGTGAGAGGGTGGAATAAACCTCCCACAGGAGCCCAGTACCCCAAAGTGCAGACATGTATCAAAGGAATGGGTAGCGAGCAGGCAACCTGGGAAGCAGACCTCATGCCTAAAGACAAGCCAGGAAGGGTTGCTCAGAACTTTGAGAGGGAACGAAGGGAGTGGGGTAGAGGGTGTTCATCTTTAACAAAGCTCTGTTTGAGTCACACAGGAGGCTGGACTTTGCCAACAGATAGGGACACTCTTCCCTACCCCTCTTTAGGGAGGCTGGGAGGCAGGACTTTCTGCCAGGGCGCCGGGTCACTCCTCCCTGACTCCCCACCCACCTCCACTTGTCAGCTGCCTTCTCCTCTGAGTCATAAAGTCCTAGGGGTTTGTGAAAGATCTGTCGAGCTAGGGTTCTAAGCCAGGAAGGTCATGCCAACCAGGAGGCTATAACCGGGGGCTGTGTTCATGGATTATGAACTCACTTCCAAAGCTGGTGCTTGCCGCTCTTGGGGACAATCCCAATTACAAGGAGGCTCCTGGAGAAATCCGAAGGCTCATACCACTCACTCCCATGGCCACAGAGCTGTTTCATGGGATGCAGAGACCACAGGCATCAATAGCATTATAACTGGGGGCTGGGCTGTCACAGTAGGGCCAGGTCTCTCAGTGTCAAACCCTCACCACAAACCCTCAAACATTCCATCAAGGGGTAGCCTCCAGAGGCCAGGCACCAAGGAGAGTCTAGTAGGCCAGGGGGCTCCTCCTGAGAGGAACTCTTTGGGGCCATGAAACAGCAACTTGGACTTCCCAGCCAGTGTCACCACCCTTCTCATCTGAGAAAAGCAGACCAGCTGGGAGCACCACTCCACCCTCCTCCCAGCCCCACCTTCTTCCCAGCCCCACCCTCCTCTGCCTTCCACACATCATATGTCGTCAGGCCCCCCACCAGGAAGGTGTGCTGCCAGAGGTAAGGGGAGCACAGGCCTGGGAACAAGGAGGTACTGGGAGAGGCAGGTGTCAGGAGAAAAGAGGATGGGGGCAAGGAGGGGCAGGGAGGGGGCCTCCACCACTGGACAGAAATGTAGAAAAACAGGAAGGCAGAAGATGAGCAAGTGGACAGTGAGGAGCAGAGAAAGACAAGTAGAAATATGCACAGGTGGGCACGCTGCTCAGCTGTGTCCCAGATCCTCCAGGACCAGTGTCCTCGACCCTTGACAGAAAAGGATGGATTAGGGCCGGGCACAGTAGCTCACGCCTGTAATCCCAGCACTTTGGGAGGCCAAAGTGGGTAAATCACCTGAGGTCAGGAGTTCGAGACCAGCCTGACCAACACGGCAAAACCCCGTCTCTACTAAAAATACAAAATTAGCCAGGCATGGTGATGCACGCCTGTAATCCCAGCTACTAGGGAGGCTGAGACAGGAGAATCACTTGAACTTGGGAGGTGGAGGTTGCAGTGAACCGAGATTGCACCATTGCACTCCAGCCTGGGCAACAAGAATGAAACTCTGTGTCAAAAGGGGCCTTGGTTGTAGGAAGGTCTGTACATTGTCCCACATGCAAATGACATGCAAAGCAACATGCCAATCAGCATGGCAGCTTCTTAATCAAAGACCAGGCAGTTGTTTCCTTGAAAAGTCAGGCCACAAGAAACCTGAACACTTGTGCTTACACATCCTGACACTCTGGGAATGGAAAGATGGAGCAGGAAGCTCATCCCCCCTGGATCCAGGGGTAGAAGAGAGCTAAAGGTTCAGAAAAAGGAATCCACAGTGTCAACAGGCCAAGTTTGAATTTGGGCAGGAGATAAGCCTGGGTGTGCCCCATGAGTGTGCCAGTCTAATATGGTGAGATAAGCCTGGGACAGATGGGCTGCCGCATTTGTGACTAGAAAAGAGCCCCCAGGAATCTCTGGCTCCTGCCTTCAGATTGTGATCTTTCCAGGTTGGTAGATCAGCTTAGGTAGAACAGTTCTCAATGAGGGCCAGCTACACACCTGGCTAAGTGCTGCCCACTGTGGGAGGCAGAAAAGGTGGTCACCCGGGACCTTATCTCCAGGAGTCAGAAGCACTTGGAGGAAGGTCTTTCACTCAGAAGCAGTTACCAGTGCTGGGCAGTGTCCTCCAAGTGCCAGAGGAATGCCGTGGAGAAAAGAAGTCCATGGAATCCAGGAGATGGGCAACGTGGGGCCTGGGGTTGGAGAGAGCTCAGAGGTACAGGACTGGAGCTAGACCAGGGAGAGAGGAAGGACCTCCATAACTAGACCTCCTCTGAGGGGCTCAGGCCAGGAAATGAGTCAGGTTAGGAGGCAGAGACAGACGAGGAGCCGCAGGGGAAGGCTCATCACTAGCGTGTTCTCTGCCTCCCCAGATTTTGCCTCCTCAAGGTGAATGCAGCTTCAAGGGGCCATCTTTGTGCTCCTGCCCCACCTGGGGCCCATCCTGGTCTGGATGTTCACTCGTGATCACATGGCTGGTTGGTGTGAGGGCCCGAGGATGCTGTCCTGGTGCCCACTCCACAAAGTCGTATTGCTTGTACAGACAGCCATCTACTGTGTCGTGGGGTGAGTACTTGTTTCTCACACATGGCCCTGGTACCCAGTGGGGTGGGAACAAGTCCCCTGTATCTGAATTACTCCCATATATTGGCCTCCAAAGGCAGGCACTTTGGCTTGCCTCTTATGGTGGGTCCTCCAGAAAGTAAGAAACCCTCTATGCCTGCCTGGGGTTCCAGTTAGTCCTTCTTCCACCCTCTCTAAGTCTCCCAGCCCCTCCCCAACCTCGCTGTGCCCAGCTCCTCCCACCAACTCCCTCCCTAGCCCTTAAATGATGCCTAGACCCATTCGCCCCCATTTCAGCCCACAAGGGTATCCAAGAGTCCTTATGCCAGAGAGTCTCCTCCATTCACCGTGGAACCTCCCATTGAATGATTTTGCCACCATCTCTCCACAGCTATGCCTCCTACCTGGTGTGGAAGGACCTGGGAGGGGGCTTGGGGTGGCCCCTGGCCCTGCCTCTTGGCCTCTATGCTGTTCAGCTCACCATCAGCTGGGCTGTCCTGGTTCTCTTTTTCACAGTCCACAACCCTGGTCTGGTAAGGCACATGGGGATCAGTAGCAGAAGTAATGTGGGAGAGGGTGAAACCACCTGGCCCCAGAAGCACATAATTTGGCAGAGCAATTGAGTGCAGGCAGGTAATGGATGGGCAGACTTCTCTGCACTTCCATGGTGTGCACAGAGCCCCAGGGACTTAGCTTGCGGCTGGGCTGGGTAGTGCAGAAAGGTGGAGGTGCTGGTTCTTGGGCGGCCAGCTGACCCCCGGCCCCTGTGCCCAGGCCCTGCTGCACCTGCTGCTGCTGTATGGGCTGGTGGTGAGCACAGCACTGATTTGGCATCCGATCAACAAACTGGCTGCCCTGCTACTGCTGCCCTACCTAGCCTGGCTCACCGTGACTTCAGCCCTCACCTACCACCTGTGGAGGGACAGTCTTTGTCCAGTGCACCAGCCTCAACCCACAGAGAAGAGCGACTGAGGCCTTAGGGCACGGGAGAGGAGGGACGGCCAGGGTGGGGAGGAAGAGTCTGCAGGCAGGGCTGTGGAGCTAGGGTTCACCCCAATGGGACCACCCTCCTGGGTTCCCTGGTGCCGTTTTTCCTTAGAAATCAAAGAAATGGGAAAGAGGGGGGAAAGCGATTTCACACTTAAATAATAAAATCCTATTAGTAACTCTGAAGGTATGATGTGAAGTGTGTATTTGAATGCATAATATGATGCCTAGGGCGGCAGAGTGGGATGGAAGCTTCTGGACCTGTGTGTGAGTGTGTGTGCGTGAATGAATGTGTGAAGGCCCATGGGGGAGGGGTGGGCACACCAGCTCACCTCCACTCACATGCCTCCCCACCTGGCATAAAGATTTAGCACTCAGATGTTTAATTGCCTGAAAAACAAAAGGCTTTTAAACTGACAAAAAAGCCAAAACAGAAAAATACACTTTATAAAAAGGGTACTAGAGGGCCAGGCACTGTGGCTCATGCCTGTAATCCCAGCACTGTGGGAGGCCAAGGCAGGTGGATCACGAGGTCAGGAGTTCGAGACCAGCCTGGCCAACATGGTAAAACCCTGTCTCTAAAAACACAAAAATTAGCTGGGCGCAGTGGTGCGCACCAGTAGTCCCAGCTACTCAAGAGGCTGAGGCAGGAGATTCACTTGAACCCGGGGAAGCGGAGGTTGCAGTGAGCCTAGATCATGCCAATGCACTCCAGCCTGGGCGACAGAGTGAGATTCCATCTCAAAAAAAAGTGGGGATACTAATTATACATGTTAAGGTTATATAGTATATCTTATACATTAATTTATATATCAGATTTATGATGCAGTATCTCATTATAATATATAGTATCGTTATATGATATATATGTGATGCATCTCTGATAAATAAGATTATAGACCTTTTTTGCTTTCATATACTCCTATGCTTTCTTTATTTTACATCAATTAATCACTATTAGAATAAGGCAAAGAACATTGAAAAAAAAAAGAGATTATGCCTCAGAGTGCTGACAGGTGAATTCATAAGAGCTTCTTATTCAGCCTTCTATCTTGCTTCTCTTTTTCTAAACCTTCTTAGTGGCTTTTTAATTTTTGTCTCCTCCCTTCTCTGATTTTCTTCTGTCCTTGTTTCAAAGCCCTGATGGTGGCAAGGAGTGACTGCCCCTGAGTATGCCTCCTCAAATCTTTAACAAGGTCAGCTGGAAGACCCAGACACCTTGCAGTAGGGGGTCTCCACCTGCTGCATGATGGGATCACCAGCAGTGTTTAAAAATCCTCATCAGCCTCTCTAGGGAGGAGGCCTGAGCATCAACATTTTTAAAACGTCCCGAGACCTCCTCAGGTGCAGCCAAGGCTAAGAACCACAGCTGTTTGGAGCTTTTTTAAAAATGCATATTCCTCAGACCCCACTCAAGACCCATAAATGAGAACATTGTGGGTGGGCTCTTGGCATCTTTAGATTTAAAACCTCCTGAGCACTTCTGTCAGCTGCTAGCTAGTTTGAGTGCTTTGGGCACAGATCATTTATCAGGGCCCGTTTAGCCTTGACAATCTGAGGTTTCGTGAGCTGAGTTTTAGAGCTGAAACAAACTGTGTGCTCTCAGGTGAGAAGCCAGCAGGGCAGCATAATTTGAGAAGGGGAGTGGCTCTTTCCAGAGCTCACCCAAGAGAGGGAGTCTGCAGTCTCCCCTCCTCCACCAAGGGCATGCTCAGCCCAGTGGGTCAGGTCACGGGCACCCCAGGACACAATGTCCCACCCACCTTTGTATCTCCAGTCCCAGGGCAGGGCAGAGCACAGAGTAGGTGCTTGTATGTTTTTATTTGTTGATTAATTTAATGAATACATGAACACACTGTCATACTTCAAAAACAAATGCTGACCAGCACCCTGCCGCCACCCCTACCCCCACCCCTACTCTGGAACAACTGAAAAATGAATGGAAAGGCTTAAATCATTTTGGAAACTCCTGGTTCTAATGTGCAACCAAACTGAGACCCGTTGCTGCAGGACACTGCTTCTCAAAATGTGCCCCAGAGACCTCCTGAGACACTTGTTGGGACTCCAGACCCATGAAATCAGATCATCTTGGGGAGTGAGAGCAATAGGGCATGGTGACTTGCAGTTCTTGTCGTGGAGTCAGACCAACCTGGGGTTGGATACTGACTCTGTTATCTATTAACTGGTAACCTGGTGCAACTTTTGGCTATAAATACTGATTGACAGAGGAGAGGCTAGGAACCCACAATACATGGGTTCTTACCCCAGCTCTACTACCATTGTGTGATCTTGGCAAGTGGGTACTCCAGACTTTATCTTCCATTACCATTACTATCATCTCATAATAATATATGCATTGTAATATTTGCTACCAATTTTATTCATTACCAGCTAATTCTAGAAGTTAGGCGGAACCTCCATAAAGATGTACGATGCCTATGGTATTACTTTGACCTCCCCAAGGCAAGCTGGAACCACTAACCCATGCCTCTAGCTTTGGACTTAGCCCTAGAAGAAAGCTTAATTTGGGTAGTGTCCCAAGCCCTGGGCTGGCATGACTGCCTGATACAGCATGAGCCAAGCTAAAGAGATTTTTGGCCATGTGCAGAAACTCAGCATGAAAGGGCAGAATCCCAACTCCAAACTCTTATCCTCTGACTCCAAAGTTGTCCTTAAAATCCCCCTCTGCCCCAGTTCCTTGGTTCCTGGGTGAAGGGAGCCTCTAATCCCACAGTCTCCCAACCTTCCTGGGACTCTTGTCTTTCCCCTTACCCACTTCCCAGTTCAGAGCCCAGCCTAGTGGACACCTGCCTTTGGCCCTCTTGTTACTTAAGAGCTGTGCCTAAATAGACTTGGAGCTGCCTCTTCTCTTTGCAAGTGTGTCCCAGGATTCCACCATTCAGATTGTGTGCACATTTTTGTTCTGAGGCAGTATTTTTCCATTTGCCTCTGATTTGGTGAGTCGGAGAGAGACAAGATCATAAGGCTCTGCAGATCTCCCGTCCAGTGGCTGCAGACTAGGTAAAACAGCAGATCCAGGAGGTGTCATATCTCATTCTTTTGTATCCTAGTCCATCCTTTCCTCCTCTAAACCTTCACTCTTCCTTCACTCTTCCTCACTTTGCCAATTTCTGCAGAATGGAGACATAGAGGGGCTAGGTGAGATGGCAGACTAGTAGGTGTATGCCCAGTGGACAAAGGTTGGTCAGCTGGGCTAGGAACGGGGCAGAGTGCAGGATGTATTTATTCTGCACATCTCTGGCCCCTCCTACCTACAGGCAGGTAGAGCTGCTGCGTAGGAGAAGCCTGGAGGCCCCTGAATGTTGTCAGTCCTGGGCCAGGGCTCCAAAGTCTCTTTTCTTTTGTGAACGGCCACCATCTGCTCTATCTCTTGGGGTTCCCCTGCACCCCAAGCCCAGTTTCAGAGTCTTCCCAGAGGTCCCCTTTCTTGTAGTTCCAGAACACAAGCACACAATCCTTTTAAGGATTTTACCGCTGATTCTCATCAGCAGCTCACAAGGTACTCAGTCCAAAGCCCAACTTTGCTGAGAACTTCCTCAGATCTCCACCTGCCTCTTCTATCCTCAGGTAGAGCCCACCAAAACATTTACCCACCTCCCAGACTCCTCCTCCGACCCCTACAAAGTCGAGGACACGCCATACATTTAGGCTCTTCTTCTGATATGGAAGCCAGGGGAAGCTATCCCTGGTCATACCAGGGCCTCGGTCATATTCATCAGGGCCTCATTTATCCCTTTCCAAGGTCCCATGGCCCACACAGAGATTATCTGCTAAGAGAAGCACCAGAAAATCCCCCTAGCTCTTCCACTTGCACCTACTCCAACACATTTCTCATCTTAAGGGCTGAAATTCTCCTCCCAAAAGTTGACTGTAGTTTGTCACCTCCTCCCAGTAGGTTCTTTGGCCTTGCAAACACCCCTTCAAAGAGGAATACTATTTTTTTTTTTTTTTGAGTCTTGCTCTGTTTTTTTTTTTTTTTTTTTTTTTGTCTCTCTTTTTTTTTTTTTTTTTATTTTTTTGAGTCTCGCTCTGTCGCCCAGGCTGGAGTGGCAAGGTGGCCCGGATTCTCAGCTCACTGCAACTCTCGCCCTCCAGGTTTACGCTATTCTCCTGGCCTTAGTCTCCCGAGTAGTGGCGGACTACAGGCGCCCGCACCTCAACCAGCTAGTTTTTTGTATTTTTTTTAGTAGAGACGGGGTTTCACCGTGTTAGCCAGGATGGTCTCGATCTCCTGACCTGTTGTTTGCCTGTCTTGGCCTCCCAAAGTGCTGGGATTACAGGCTTGAGCCACCGCGCCAAAGAGGAATACTATCAGTCACCTTAATGTCCATGATCCTTATCAGATCACTTTCTTCAAAGACTGAAAGTGCCAGCCGCAGTAGCTGGGCGGTGCCAGGAGTAGCTACTGGAATGGAAACCATGGTGACTAGGACTCAAGTCCCGGGAGTCACCATTTTACCCAGGGTGGCGTGTCCCACATGGCAAGGCAAGGCAAGGCAAGGATTGTGTCCTGTACAGAAGACTGTAAACCCTGCCCTGCCCTGTGATTCTGGTGCCTTCTCCAATCCCAGCCTCAGACTCTGGGAGACCCTTGACCCCCTCCCCTCTTCACTGGCCAAGGCTGCTCAAAGCCCTGGACACCTCGTGTTTATATCAACAGAGCAGTTGCTAGAGGAAGCAGCCTCCTGCCCTCCAGAGGGGTGTCTGGTGCCCGAGGCCTGTTGTTTGTGTACCTTGTCTCAGTAGTGACCGGAGGGGCAGGCACGCCTGGGCTGGGTCTCTGGGGCAACGCACTGTTGGGGTCCCAGCTGTCCCTGCACATAAAGCACCAACTCCATCAATGCACCCCTGAGGTATCCTCTTTCAGAGAGTGAGAATTTAAACCTTCCTCTGGTGAGGCTTCTATTTTCCACCAGCCCCCCTCCTGGCCTCTCTGCTCCCTTCCCAATGAGGGCAGCTCCACGTCCGGCCAAGATCCAAGGAACAACCGTGCCTGACCCTGTCCTCTCCTTCTCAACCACCTCCTGGAATCTCTGAATGTTTTCTGAAATGACCGTGGGAAATGGGACAGGGAGAGGCATGCTGCAGTGTATCCTAGGCCTAACCCAGCTCCTTCCAGCCACTGCCATCCCAACAAGAAGGGGGCAAGGACCAGCAGAGACAGGATGGGAGGATTCCAATTTTGGTTTCCATCCCCAGATACTAGCTGTCTGGTGTCTCTTAACCTGTACCCCCACCACACAGAGATATATACACACACACATACACATACACACACACACACACACATACACACACACACACACACACCCCTTCATGTACCAATTACTTCCTAGAGTCTGTTCTTCCTGCAAGAACTCCCTCTCAGCCCCTTCAACTCCCACTGGTCTCTGTCCTTCCCTTCTCCCAGAGCTGGGCCTCA